TGCATAAAGGCACTGGAAAGCTGTCACCAAAGTAGGAAGCATAAATGATTACATTTTCAGATCTGAGTAAACACGGTGTCCATGTAGAGTAATCTGGTGGAGCTACAGATTACAGTTTTTTAACCAAGTTTAACTCTTTCATCACTGAAGGACAAAACGTCACTTTCAGGAACAACAAAAAGATGTTTACCTGCAGCACACACGTGGTTTATTTACCACCAGCTGGTACATTCAGCTTCCTCAAAGCTCATAACTGCAGGTTTTTGCGATCAGTACGTGATGTGTGATCAGAACTCGATGGATGCTACACAGGCACCATAAGTTCATCCTGTGTTTATTCTGTCTGTACTGCTGGGAGTGTGTAACCGAAGAGGGCACTTTGGTTTGTTTTTCTCCTTTTTTTTTTTTGAAACCGAGGGATCAAAAGTATTAGAGAGTGCTGCATAACCTGCTGCAAGAATCTCCCCTGCAGTGTTTTTAATGGGAGACACAGCAGCTCTCTGCTTCCAAACAGGAGTGTGGACGTACGCCGGCTTCACACACAAACACACGGATCGCTCCAAAGACAAAAAATTAAATTTGATAAACGCTTAAAATGAATATCTTTTTCAATCTCTGAGCATAAAACAGGAATAAAGAAATACAACAACGCTGCTATTAGTACTTTGAACTGCGCTCGATTTTGTAATATTTTACATAATGTCCGTAGTTTGTTTTTATTAGCTTGTTTTATTTTATTTGCATTTAATGTGCACGGTTTTGTTCTGTTATGTGCTCGTAACCGCTTCACTGTAGATCTTATGTTATGTTTTTGTGCATTATGGTGCAAAAGGTAATAAAGAATCTGAAATTACAGCAAAAAATGAAGGAAATAATGAAGAACAAAGGGAAAAGAAATGAGTAAAGTCATATTTTTTAACGATATATGTTTAAAGTGTCACACATGAGCTGAGATTCAGTGGATAAAATGCACTTAATGCGACTCAACTGATCCCCGGTTTGCGTTTCAACGCAGATGTTTATGTGGCACGAATAAACAGAAGCAGAAAACGTGAGCTGGAACACGATGAATAATGGAAACAGAGGCCGCAAAATTAGCGACAGAAACTCAAAGAGAAAACGCAGCAGCAGAGACGCTGCTTCAGCCGTCAGAGCGTTTTTACCTTCAAGGCGCAGAAGATGCACGAGTCCTCCATGCACTTGTGGGTGGTCAGCTGTCGAAAGCTTCGGCGGAAGATGTCGAGATGCCACAAAACCTGGGAGACAAAACACGTTTACGGTTTAGACACAGAAACGAGAGCCTCCTGTTCTTTCTGTACTTTGTTTTTTCTCTATAATTTTGCCCTTTTTTGTTCTTTCTCTGAGCACATGTGGTTTAATCCTGNACCTGTCCAGGTGAACCTGCCTTCACCCTGAGTCAGCTGGGATAGACTTTAGTGACCCTAGTGAGGATTAAGGTGTAGAGATGATGGATGGATGGATGGATGGATGGATGGATGGAGGCTTGTCATGATGGAGGTTAGAGATACAAGTAGAGCATCACTGGTCACTATTTTCTACCGTGTACTGACTCGTTCCAGAGTTGATGGTGTTGAGAAGCTGCAACAAACTGAAAGATCTCAGTGTTTAGATGCTTTTCTACCAACTTATTTACCTTTATTCTTACCTTCATTAAGACTCGTGTGGAAGCCAAGAACACAATAACAACTGATAACGTGATAAATTTACTGTTTTTAAAATGTAGCACAATGGCATAATACCTGGCCAATAATGTAATAAAAGTCCTGAACCAATAACGTAATAACTCATTCCGTTATATTACGTCATTACATTTGCAAAGAAGTTTTTTTTTTACCAGGCCAATAACACAATAACTTATTATGTTATTGGTTCAAGACTTTTATTACGTTATCAGCCGTTGTTACATTATCGGCTTCTACGCTCCTGTTTCATTGTTTTTTAGTGCTTTTACTGTTCTTATTGTCCTTTTTAATGATTTTATTATAATTTTATTGTATTTTGCATTCTAGATGTTTTAAATTGTTTTACATTCTGTGTTCAGCACTTTGTTTTGACTTTTGTTGCGTTAAACTGCTTTATAAATAAAGTTGAGTTATTCTGTATACGACAAAAAAACTCCACGGAAACACCAAAGCAAAGCAGCGAGCAGATAATTGTCGCAACAAATAATTTATCCACTTTTTATCATATTTTCTTTTATTTTTATTTCCAAATCAGAAATACTTTATTGACCTCCTATAGGGGAAACTGCTTTCGGTTACAGATGCTCCCAATCAAAAGTCTTATAGTAAAAATATATAATAAAAAAGTATTAATATTGAAAATAAAATAAATTATAACACAAAAAATAAATAGACTTTCTACTTTTGTCTGTGTATATACAGTGAAATAATAACAATAACAATAACAATAATAATAATAATAATACCAACTACACTATTTAACTTTTATTTAACCTGGAAGTCTCATCCACATTCAAAACCTCTTCTNGTCCCCCATGACCCTAGTGAGGATTAAGGTGTAGAGACGATGGATGGATGGATGGATGGATGGATGGATGGAGGGTTGTCATGATGGAGGTTAGAGACACGAGTAGAGCATCACTGGTCACTGTTTTCTACCATGAACTGACTCGTTCCACAGTTGATGGTTCTGAGAAGCTGCTGTCCTGTCAGCTGTCTGCTACAAACTGAAAGATCTCAGTGTTTAGATGCTTTTCTACCAACTTAATTACCTTTATTCTTACCTTCATTAAGACTCTGTGTAGAAGCAAATATGGGAACAACGGCCGATAACGTAATAAATTTACCGTTTTTAAAATGTAATAGCACAATGGGATAGTACCTGGCCAGTAACGTAGTAAAAGTCCTGAACCGATAATGTAATAACTTATTACGCTATATTACATACATTACGTTATTAAATTTGCAAAGAACTTTTTTTTTAACCAGGCCAATAACATAATAACTTATTTCTATATCAGTTCAGGACTTTCATTACTTTATCAGCTTCTACGCTCCTGTTTTATTGTTTTTTAGTGCTTTTACTGTTCTTATTGTCCTTTTTAATGATTTTATTCTAATTTTATTGTACCTTGCATCTAGATGTTTTAAATAGTTTCATATTCTGTGTTCAGCACTTTATCTCGACTTTTGTTGCGTTAAAGTGCTTCATAAATAAAATTGAGTTATTCTGTATACGACAAAGAAAACTCCACGGAAATACGAAAACAAAGCAGTGAGCGGATAACTGTCGCAACAAATAATTTATCCATTTTTTATTTTATTTTTATTTCCAAATCAGAAATACTTTATTGACCTCCTACAGGGGAAACTGCTTTCAGCTACAGATGCTCCCAATCAAAAGTCTTAAAGTAAAAATATATAATAAAAAGTATTAATATGAAAATAAAATAAAATATAACACAAAAAATAAATAGACATTCTACTGTTGTCTGTGTATATACAGTGAAATAATAACAATAACAATAACAATAATAATAATAATAATACCAACTACACTATTTAACTTTTATTTAACCTGGAAGTCTCATCCACATTCAAAACCTCTTCTACAAGAGAGACCCAGCCGAGGTAAGAGCCAATCACAACATATTAAGATGCAACAAATAAAACAACCAGAACAACTATTTAAACACAGCGGACCTCTGGAGAAAAACAACCACGTGTCTCCGTCTCCACGTTCTTTATGATGCCCTTGAATCTATTCATCGATACGAGTGTTTCTAATCTAAGATCCTTCTGCAGATGAGTCCAAGACCAGTTTGTCCCAAATCAGTTAAATCCCGTTGAAAAGCAACCAGCATGCAGCAAATGTAATTCTAATAAATACATAAACATCCATCCATCATCTATACACC